TTTTTTTTGTAAGATATGTACAAAAATGTTGGCTGCATTCACAGCTTATCAATCCAAATGCTTGGAAACATTAAACCATTTTTAGCTCTCGAGTTTACAAGCCAAAAGGATGGATTTTAAAGTGTAATTTTTCCAGGAGCACTACTTATCTAGCAAAGTACTCGAGTTTTAAAGCTGAATTGATTCTGTTGAAAGCCTTGACAAGCCAGGATTTGATGAGTGAGCTGGAGCAGGGCCAGAGCTCTGCATCCTGCCAGACTGAACTCCTGGAAAAATCTGTCATTACTTGGCTGGGGCTGGAGGTTCTGAGGGTAAGAATTTAAATTGTGGATGGTGCTGCTGCCAAATGTGAAATACAAACTCAGGGCTGTCTCTGTGAGGTGACAGCTTGGCCCAGCACAGAGGAACTGGGAGGACTGGGAGGACTGGGAGGATGGGCTCAGTGCTGCCAGCACCCAATTTTGGAAGTGCTTTACTCCCAGACAAGCAGGGCCTTTGGGGACAGAGGATTCTCTGCAATTGAACCCTGGTTTTAAGTGGATTGTGAATCCTCAGCGTTTTAAGTTTCAAAAATAGTTGACACAGAAAATCTTCCCCAAGTGCTTACCTAATAAAGGAGTGAAAATGTGGCTGCTTTTCTTTTGTCAGCACAGGGTGAGGGATGAATGAGGAAACTYGTGACACTGGGACAAGGCTGAGTCCTTTGATGAGGCTCACTGGCCTCATTCATTCATCGGGATGAGCAGAGCAGATCCCTGAAGCTACAAAGAGAGGCAGATTCCAAGGAATGCAGACTCGGAGGAAGGGCCAGTTCTCCCTGTTCCCAGCTCCCAAAAGAGCTCAGCAGCTGCCCACACCTTCTGCACACAACAGTGAGTTGTTACTTCCAGAGATTTCCTCAATTTCACCATGAAAATTAAATTAAAGGTTCAGGGATGAGGAAAAAAAAAATGCCCAAAACACCATCATTCTACATTACACAAGAAAAAAGCCACACACCAGCAAGTTTTGAAATTGGAGAAATGGTTGTATTGTCCAGATATAGGAAATATTTCATAAATATCTGTTAAAAGGTTGTTTTAAAGCATTTTTAGTAAGTCTTGGATTGTGAATAACATCATAGAAACAGCTGGTTAAATATATCCATATTCCACTCTGCTTTTATTTGTAACAAACACCATTTTAGAAAAGTGACTCCACTGTGGTTTGTAGCAATTTTACGTTTCTCAAAAACACCACAACATTGAAGTGGACGTACAAGAGTAAAAAAAAAAAAATTCAACAGAACAGAGCTGGAATCTTTAGTGCTTTCAGCTTTCCTTGATTTCTCTCCTGACAGAATGGAAGGTTTACAAAACGGTTTTACAAAATTTTGGGGATGCAGTTTGGGGCACTCCAGGGGGGTTCACTGCCACAAATCCTCTGTGCGACCGAACTTGAACACCAAACCCCTGTGAAAACACAAAAAAGAGACAGAAAAAATCAAATCCCTCTTGTTTCAAACACAGCATTCCAAGGGGGRTTTGTTAATCCAGTTCCTCAGTGAATCCTGTGCAGACAGATCCCAGTTTATTCACCCAGGTCTGGTTATAAAACAGGACTTTAGGATAAATCAAATCACAGCAAGTTTGAGTTTTTTATCATTAAAAGCCAATGAAATAGGAAACAAATAAAAGAGGACAGTCTTACCCAAAAAAGATGAATGCATTCTGGAAAAACACAGCTATCCCTGGGTACACCACTGGTTTTTCTAACAAGGGAAAAAAAAATCTCAATAAGTTTTTTGGGAAGTAATTTTCATGCATATCCCATTCTGAAATGTCATTTTCCCTTGTGSTAATTTAGCAGAGAGGCTTTGGGAGCAATCTTCAGGAACTCAATAATTTTTGTTCTGGGAATAATTGTTCACCCAGGGGATTATTCCCATAAAATGCAGCATTTAATTATATCCATGGAGTTCCCAGCTGGGCAAGAGCTGGRTTTGTAGAGGAAGTTTGTGCTTAGAAATAGATAAAATCCATCCCAATATTAATAATAATATGGGATAGTGGCGTGTAGGGACCCAAAATATTCAAACTGGGCCTGCCTAGAAACTCTTCCAAATACCAGTTTTAAAATTCAGGAGTCATTTAAAACACCTGAAACTTTCAAAAACTGAGCTCAGGTCTTACCTTTAACCACGTAGCCCCCGAAAAGGATCCACATGGAAGCAATGAGGGATCCAAAAGCCATCATGAATCCGATGAAGAGCCAGATCCGAGCCCCTGGAATGGGATGGGGGACGTTCTGTGCCTGTGGGACATCCCAGCCCCACAAACACCCCCCTGGCACAGCTTTTCCAGGCTCAGTGTCCCCACAAATCCCACCCCAGGGTACCTGTCTGGCCCAGGCAGCCCTCGCTGTAGCTGTCCCCCCGCACCTGCCCGTTGGACACGGCGTTGATCCTGGAAAAAACAGCACAAAACCGGGATCAAACATCTCCAATTTTTTTTTCTTAAAGCACAAATTAACTTCGGGGAGTGTGGTGGAGCCTTACATCAGGAATGCAATGGTGGCTATGACCCCACAGGCGTGGTAGGAATGGTTGAAGTCTTCCACTTGAGGGTATTTCACAGCAGCATCGATGATKATCCACCAGCCTGTGAAAAACTGGGGGGAAAGAAGGGAGAACACGACGGCTTAAAAATGATATCAACATTTAAAATCATCCTTACGGTCTCCAGCCCAGAATAAACTGATAACAATGTTAGTTTGGGATCAAGCTGACTGCAAACCCCCTCCAGCAGCTACTTCCTGGACAGAAACTGTGAAAGTGAAACAAAATACRGATGGAGAAACTTTGTCAGAAACTCTGCTGGTACACACAGAGACAAAGTATCGCTGTTCTTCCTTTCCGTGTGACTGTTAAGGTTGGGACAGCCCTCTAAAATCATC